AAAAAAGTAAATCAGAGCTAAAAAAGTGCAAAAACGCAGGCAAATTTGCCTGCATTGGTCTACATATTAAGGGATAATAAATAGGTACTCTATGTTCATGCTTTTCAACTCCAATTCCTTCATTGTAACAGTATCAATATTAGATGCTCCTATAACATCTCACATAATATCAGTTTTAGATAATGAATAAATGCTTTATTGCTTATCTTTTAAACACCAATTCCATATTGATAACAATATTTAGTCTATCTACATTAGAAGAATAAAATTACTGAAGTAAGAAGTAACAAGCCTGATTGCAAACAGACTGATTAGCTAAATACCATGACTTGATTTTGACTATGTTTCAAAGCACTTCAATAATGTTCCTATTCTTATTATATTAAAAAAGAAATTATTAACAACTTAAGTTTCTAAAAGCCATTTTTTTGAAGAATCATAATATTGATAAAGTTAATTGGTGCCAGCTACAATGCCAGCTAATTTAGCTGGCATTATGCCTTCATAAAAATGTCTTTCGAAACATATAAAATTGATTGTTTTACAATACAGGTTACATTAAAATATACCTACAAAATCATGTGCATGTTTTTCAAAATTTATGTGCATGCTTCTAATAAGGTTTTAATATTCATTTAGAGTTCGAAATATCATACTATAACCACTTGAGAAGGCCCTAAGTAAGAGAAATAGTGCTGTAGTGATAATAATAACTTTGATTAAATGCACTAATAATAAAATTAAATAACTTACTACTTGTACCCTTGATCCAGTATAAAGTAGTTACTGGGTAATTGATTTGAATCAGCCCATGACACAGACATGTAAAATTTGTGTTGTTGTTGCACTAAATGTGCAGAAAATTAATTTTTTTGAAAATAAAATTTTCAATTACGTGACACGCATGCAGATAGACAAAAAATTTCCAAATTGTAGTTCTGATCTAATTTTATGTAATTGATATTAAAGATCATCAAAAAAGTAATTTTTGAAGATCAAAATGCATCAAAAATGTAACTTTTATATTACTATGCGTAAACACTAAATGTCCGTCGCTATGCTCCAGCCAATTATTTTAAACAAAAATATAAACTTAAAACTACTAAAAATATGGATATAATCTCATTTAAAATCATTTACTAAGCAAGTGGTTTTTAAGTTGATTACTAAAATCTATTTTTTTGTTTATAAATTAAAGAATCATATGATATAAATCTCACCCAGCTTTGATTAAGGATCTATATATTTTTGTTTTGTTTTTTTTGTATCACAGAAATTATCATATTAGGTCTGAACACGAGAAATATAATAGTAACAGAAAATTCCAGGAAATTTGCCTAAAATACAGATTTAGGAATATAATTAATATATATTGATATCTAATATTAGTATTGTGTAATATATCTGACTTCTGAATAAACTTTGCTACACTCCGAACAACTATTTATAAGTTATAAGAAAGATATTTCTCTTCATCACTGAATTGCTCAATTTTTTCTCTTTAAGCATTCGATTAATATGCCAACTGATTTGATAGTAATTGACGGCCGTGAATGAAGATCAGTATTATATAGTAGCATAACCGTTATGACCGAGCGTTCATTAAGATATAAAATAAAGAATAATCTGGGATGTTTAGATCTTGTTGATTATAATATCAATGGTCATATGAAATTAAAAAATTTTGAATATTTAGGAAAGTTAAGTTGTTCTAGTGAGTGAAAATTAAATACATTAACAAAAGATTATAATGATCATTGTAGAAACAATATTATTGGTCTTGATTTAAGCGAATGTCTCAGGCTAAGAAAACTTGACTGTTCAAATAATATAGGATTAACTGAGCTAAATATTAGTAATTGTTCAAATTTAGCAAATATTAATATTATTGGTTGTCTAGAATTATGCAAAGTAATCTGTTATAATATATCTTATTCCCCCGTGGAAATAATTGAACAAGCCAAAATGTCTTACTGTTTGTATCATGAATGTCGAGAAGTGGCACATTATAATGGATATTGTAATATGCATTGGAAGGACCATTGTAAAGAAGAAGGATGCAATTCACAAATCTATATTTCGAAAGAATACTATTCTTTCCATAGGTCAATTTGTAAAGTGCTCGGTTGTTCCCTTCAAACTTTTCTAAACAGCGATTGTGATTACCACAAAAGTGTGAGAGAGGATGAACTAAGAAGTATAAGAAAAGAAGCACTAAAGCGAAGAAAGAAAGAACAACTTGATCAAAGAAATCATAGAACTTTGATTTTTTTTCTAGGTTTCGTATTCTTAGTAATATATTTAAATTACTTGGATATTTATTTATATATAACTTATGAATTTATATTATGTATATAAAAATGTTATCAAATATTGCATTAAATATGAACTACTGTATATTATTATATAACAAATCTTTATGAAATATTTTTAAGACATTTTTTTTTAAATAAATAAATTTTTTATTAAAATAATTCATTTCAAAATATTTTAGTAAAACATGACATGCAGTAATATATACAGTTATTGTATAGGGTGTAAAAAATATACACGTAAGTTCTAATGGTGGCAGGTGATTTGCAGATCATACTGTTGTAAAAAAATTATACACACACCCACAAGTAGAGATCCTCATTTTCTGTTGCGATAAACCCCAAATTCTGCTTGCTTTACAAATTAAGTCCAATATAGTCCAGTCCAGTGTCTTTAGCCACTGGACATAGTAAAAGTAACAGCCTTGGCTACAAATTATGTGAATTAAGTAAAATTATGCAAAAAGTTGCAACTAGAATCATTTTTTATATCTTAAACCCAATTAAAACATTGAAAATAACCGGTTCTAAATTATAATTGCAACTAGAGGTGTGAATGCTTGCTGTAATTATAATGTATTATAGCAAAAAATACCCATAACTCATTATAGTTACAAGCTATGTTATTACATTCATACCTATAGTTATCAAAACTTAATCCATGTGCTTATGTTAATTTGTTGTATACATTTCAAAATTCTCCTGGTACTAATACATTTCCTATAAAATTACAATTATATTTATTTTGCTATTCTACTCTAGATTATGCTCTATTAATTATGTGAAATTAGCTCTAATATGCCAATATGCTATCATATATGCTTTTGTAATATAATTTAATTTATGTGCATATTATGCCCTACCCACAAGAAATTTTCTGCATGTGACAATCATCTAATTTGTGTAACTGTAATTTCAATGAAAAAGTAAAAACTTTCTATCTTTAAATCAAAATATCACCACAACAGCCTGGCCAAATTTGATAATTTTTTTTATTTGAATTCTATAGATTCCTAGAATTCAATTTAAAAAAATATTTATAAAGCTTGGTTAGGTGGTTGTGGAGACATCTTCACTTGAAGTTAAAAAAAAATCAAAAATGCAAAACAAAATTATTAACTGCTAATCTAGATGCTATACAAAAAATACATAGCAGATTCTCAATTTTGACTGGCTAATGGCCGTGGATTTTCAAAATTTTAGCACATATTACATAATTGTTCATTAATTTCTAGCTAGAATTAACTTTTTAATTTTTTTATTACAAAAATAAAAAATAAACCTACATTATAGTAAAATTGGCCCAAGAACAATTTTTACTTAGTTAGTAGCTATGATTTTATTAATAAAATTATGAGTAATTCTGGCCTAATTTTTTGATTATTACTATTAGCTAATCAAAATTGTAGATCTGCTATATATTTTTTGTGCAGCATCTAGATTTAATAATTTTGTTAGGCATTTTGATTTTTCTTTAATTTCAAGTAAAGATATCATTACAACTACCTAACCAAACTTTATAAATTTTTTTGTTTAATTTTATAAATCTATAGAATTCAAATTAAAAAATATAAAGTTTGGTTTTGTGGATATGAAGATATTTTTATCCAAATTTTAAAAAAGTTAATACAGCTTCAATTTTATTAGATATTTTGATTTTTCTTTAACTTCAAGCAAAGATATCTCCACAACCACCCGACCAAATTTTATAATTTTTTCTTATTTAAATTTGTGAATCTATAGAATTCAAATTAAAAAATTATCAAGTTGGGTTTGGTAGCTGTGAAAATATCTTTGCTTAAAAGTTATACAGCTTTAATTTGTTATTAATCATAGCTATTGCAACAAATTTAAACTGGAAGATCCTCGATTTTGATTGGCTAATAGTCAAGAATTTTTAAAATTTTGGCCCATATTACAAAATTGTTTACTAAATTATAGCTAGAAATAACTTTTTATTTTTTTTATTACAAAAATAGAAATTTTTAAAAAATAAACTCACATTATAAATAAAATTGACCCAGGAACAATTTTCACTTAATAGGCAGCTATAATTTTATTAATAAAATTATGAGTAATTCCAGCTTAATTTTTTTATCATTACCCTTAGCCAATCAAAATCAAGAATTTGCCAGTTTAAATTGTTGCAGCAGCTATAATTAATAATTTCGTTATGCATTTTAATTTTTTTTTAACTTTAAGTAAAGATATCTCTACAACTACCTGATAAAAATTTAGAAATTTTTTTTTTATTTAAATTCTATCCCTTAAATTGTTTTGCAGCCAAATTTGCCTGCAAACTTTTTTAAATTTTAAAATTTTTTAATAAAA